ATTTTAAAGTAGATTCTTTGGATAAACTGAATTGTTCTAAAGATAAATGATTAGTGATATCGCAATTAGAATTATATCTGTAATAAATTTTTGAAGAAAGATTCTTGTTTACAATATCTTTAAAATACTCAGTTAAATTAAAAAAACTAGGTGATGTAATATTTTTAAATTCTTTCTTAGCTTTTTCAATATCATAGGAACTATCTACTTTTCTTTTTAAGTCGCTTAATAATTTAAAAAGTGAATTAGAATTTGTTTGTTTTTGGTAATTAAAATATAATTTGTTTGCTCCGATATCACTGAGTAATAATGAATATTGTTTTGATAATTTTTTGTATAAATCTTTATAATATGATTTGGACTCGATTTGATAAACATTATTATTAATATATTCAGAACATTGATATATATCATTTATTAATCTTTTCTTGTTGATAATATACTTGCTAGTATCCATTTTTTTTTAATAATTTAATATTTTAATTTTCTATATTTTAATTTCCCTATTTATAAAAAAAATTTAAGACACGGCAAATTTGAAATGTATTTATAAATTCCTCTTGTTCACATAATTAATTAAAAAATGAATTTATGTTAGGTTTCGTATTATGTCTTTATAAACCATTAGATTAATTGATAAAGCAAACCAGCAAAATTAAAAATATTTGTTTGATTAGTCAATTGAAAATTTCTTAAAAAACAATAGTTAAGGCCACGCAAAGTTGATTTTTCATTTTGCATTACCTGCCGACCAATTTTTTTTCAATTTTTCAATTTTTTTTTTTTTTTTTTTTGAAGTTCCAATTGCGCCAATTCTTCCATTTTTGCCATTTAATTTTTTTCCATCAATTAATCCGGTACCACCTGATAGAGACCTTATTTTCCCGAAATTATCTGATAGAACTGATAGAAAAAAATTTGATTGCCATGTTATACAGAGCAAAAAAACAACTTTGTACAGCCTTAGATATGAATACAAGTCAATTAATTTACTGTAGATTAAAAAAAAAAAAAAGCAAAAAAAAAAAAAAAAAAAAAACCGGCCGCCGACCGGAATTTTGAAATCTATTAATGCAAAACGAAAAATCAACTTTGCGTGGCCTAAGCGCGAACAGTGTTAACATACTTACAAAGCATCTATAAATTCCTTAAGCCAAGATTCTTCTTCATCACATTCAAATAGAGAGTATTCTGCATTAATGACATTATTATTAAGCCAATCTACAACATGATCAGAGAGAGAACTAGAAGAAGGACAAGCGATTGGATCAACTATCAAATAGTATTGTTCGTTGAGATGGTCCGATTTCATATCATCTATCTCAAACCGTTCGAGATTTTGTA